TAATTTCTTTAAAAGTATAGAATGAATCATAAGACTTTCAAATAAATACTTAACTATTTATTTCTCCAAATAATGAACAAAAATTAGAAAAAAATGTTAAAATCAAATAAATAATTATTGTTCTTTTTTTAAGTTTTATTTCTTAAATTATATTATATATAACTATATATTTGATAATTTCTTTAAAAGTATAGAATGAATCATAAGACTTTCAAATAAATACTTAACTATTTATTTCTCCAAATAATGAACAAAAATTAGAAAAAAATAAGGAAATAAATCAAAAACTTGTAGAACTTGTTCGTTTGTTGGTGAAGAAAGTAGTTGAATGTAGATTCTAGTGCTTAAAGAGTAAGATTTAAGGAAAAATGTTATTAGAAAGTTGAAATTTTAACCCAAAAAAAGAGGGAGAAAAAAAAAAACAAAATATGATTTAGTATATGAGTCATTGAAAAATGTCACTTACCATGATAAATAGGCAACAGTTGATCAGAGAAAATAGGTAGGTGAAGAGAGGGCACAAGAATGATAGAAAAACCAGAGAAAATGAGAGGAACAAAATGATAGTCTTGTGAGGAGCGAGGTAGAAAAAGGGTCTTTATAAATATCTATGCATAGTTATTCAAACCGATAATAATTTGCAAAATATTGACAAATACATCTAACATCCCGTCTGTGCAAACTTTTTCCAGACTAGTTATGGTTTGGAAAATGCAAGAAAAATCACCACAAGTCCCATCTATGATGAGAATCTCTGCACAGACTAATCGATTTGGAAAAAAGCAAGAAAATCATGAACAATCACGTTTATGCATAGATACTTTGCACAGACTTTTCTAGACCGTTAACAAAGCAAAAGAATCAACCCAGCACCCATTTGTGCAAAGATTCTCTACACAAATTATTCTAGATCGTAACCGGTCTAGAAAACAATGGTAAATCCAACCCCTTCTGCTAGTAGGCCTATTACATTATTCTTTATGTTTCTGAACTTGTTTTAGTCTTAAAATCACTGCATTGAACAGCTAAGGGTCTGTAAAATCACTACATTATTCTTTATGTTTTATATTTTCAGATTGTAACTAGTCTGATAAAGTTAAACAATATTATATTGATTCCCTTTTTTTTTTTTTGTTGGTGCATTACTATTTTGCAACTAATATACAGATCGTTTACAGTTTGAAATATGTTGGTGCATTCTTGTGTGATTCGTGCCCTTTTTATTTAGACTGAAATAGTCTAAAGAAATAAATTAGTAGTTATTTTACTGTGGCTTTTGGTCATTATTTTGGCAGATCGATCGTGGACGGAATTATTTGTTTTTCATATCGTTGATTGACGGTCTAGATAATGTGCTTTTCTAGTAGTGTCGTCTCTTTCCGTGATTTTGTTTTATTCTTTAGGTTTTTTTTTTTTTTAATTTTTTGCAAGGTTTCTTATCACCATTTAAGGCTACCTTATGTGAGAGTTCATCCTTCTAAGTATGGCCTATGTGTGTTTTATTGTTATTTTATATCCTTCCCACTAAAGGTTTAGAGTAGGAGAGGTGATTGGTATGGGTTGTGATGCTTTGGAATACTTTTTATAGCAAACTATCTCAATAATTACTCTTTTATTTTTTGGTCATAGTCGCTCATATTGACTTGCAGCTTTATTATTAGATTAAGAACTGAGTTTGATTATAATATCTATATAACCATTAAATTGCTTTATTATCATACATTTAACCAGGTATTTCATACTTTGAAAGTTAGGTTTTATGATATATCTAATGTGTTACATTGTATAAGTCAACTTACAATCTTTGCAATTTTTTATTATTGATAAATGAATATATTTTTATTTTTTAATAAAAATTTATTTTTACTTTAAAAAATATAGACACCCCTAGAATAGTAAATGTGGCAACTAAAACCGGACATTGGTAGTATTAAAATCGCTTGCTAAAATCGACAAACCTACTCCTTTTTCAAGTTCAGCCTTCTTTTCTGACTCCTTGACGGTAACTACGTACATCGGTGGCTGTATCCATGGTTGGCGGCGTCCCAATTGCCTCTGGGATCCTTTCGGGTAAGTAAATCATGCAAGATATATTTTATCAGTCAATATTATTGTGAGTGTTTGTTCGTTGGAAAGTGCTAGCTGCAGCACTCGACTAATGATTGGATAATTTTTATTTTTTTATTTTTTTATTTTTAAAGTTGGCCAATAGGTTGAGTGCTAACCGCACTAATTTGGAATGGACTATTATTTTTAGGATAATGATTTACGGGCCGAAAGTGGGGGGTTAAAATGGGAGCCGACAAGTGAAGTTGGCCAGATACAAAATTACCCATTTAACCTGCTTCACTTGTATCCTAGCTAACTTCACTTGTCGGTTCCCATTTTCGCCACTCACTTTTCATCCCGCAAATTATTATTCTTATTTTTAACAGTATATTAGGTTAATAGGATTGGTTGATTTAATTTGTATGCATGCTTTTCGCAGGTAATTTGGGTAAATATATGGGTATTTGTGGTGTTCAGGAGCTGTGATGATTGAATATTATGACTTTTTTTTTAATTCCTTTTTCCTTCTTATTCGTTTGGACTTCTAATTCTTTTTGTTTTCTCCTATGTTATATTTTCTTAAATTTTTTTTAACGGGTACATTGACAAGATCTTCAAAGTCGGTTTTTCCTTTTGTCCTCAGTTTTGTGTTATACATATTTCGACCTACTTTTTTCTATATTAAAATTGTTAAACTTGGCAAAAAGTCTCACTAAATATCCTTTAATATTCTCGATAAACACCCAATTTGTTTCTTAAGCAAACCAAATAAGAGAGTTGAGGCCCGGTAAAAATAACATCTTCAATATTTGAAAGGAATATTAAAAGATGATAAACTTTACTTTACTTTACTTTACTTTAATGTCTCTAATATTTCATTAACAATTATCAAAAACTGTCACAAATTTATTTTTATAATTCCTTTCATAGGAATTTATATTTATAATTTATTATTAATAAAAAATTTTATAATTAATAATTATTTAAACAAGATTAATACTAATAAATCGTGCGTAATACAACTTGAGGCCTAGTTAAATAAATAATTCAAGAAAAATTATTCAGTTACATTTAAAAAAAAAAAAAGAAAAAGAAAAGAAAAAAACCCATTTCCTCTCATTTTCCCTAGTTTGGATGGATAAAATAGGGGGAGTTGAAGGGTCTCCCCCACCCCTCCACCTTCTTTACACTCTTTAACAAGACTAACCCAAATAACAGGAGAGAGAGCCTTCCTCCTCAGTCTCCTCTCCTACCTTTCGTTCCTCAAAATAAACACACTGTAAGGAACATAAAAAAAATAACGCTTGAACATGATGCCATTCAAACTGATGAGTACTCCATAAAAGAACAACCCATGATGAAAATTGATGAAAATAAATGAAGCATAGGTATATCATACTTATTTGAAGGATGCAACTTCATTTAAAAGGGTAATTAATTGTAAAATAATATTCCGTCTATTTCTATTTAAGGTTTCTCATTAATGGTTGTTAAACCTCAGTTTGGTCCCTTAACTTTGGTTTTTTAATTTAGTCCCTAAACTTAATAAATCCCTATGCTGGTCCTTAAAGTTTTAAATTTAGCTCTTTGCGGTCCCAAAAGAAGGATTTATTTAATTCAAGAGAACAAATCAAGGGTCCATACAAAAGTTCAAGAACCCATACAAAAGTTCAAGAGCCAAAATTAGAATTTAACCTAATGAAGATTTCGTGGTTAAATAAGTTTTTAAAGCTAATGTAGACAATGATTTTGTCTACATCATCAATTTTGCAGTGTAAAATTTTCATCTCATTAATTTAAAGGAAAAAAGGGTTTTAACATTTATTAACATGTAAGCTAAAATTAAGTAAAAGACCAAAAAAGAGTTAAAATTTAAAAATTTAAAGATCAAATTATAAATTTATTTAATTTAAAAATCAAATCAAGAATACATACCAAAGTTGAGGACCAAATTAAGGTTTAACCTTAGTTAATTAAATAACTAATATTACCATTTATTTCTTTTGATCAGTCCACACAAGCAATAAAACATACTTTTAATTTTCCAGTTTTATTTAAAATTAAAATTAAAGGATATTTCTTAAAAAAAAAAAAAGAGAAGGGTACCCCCGCCTGTGGTCTTCCGTCGAAAATGGTAGAACTATCTTTTTGCCCTCCCAGAAATTTAAGGGAGATGAATAGTTCTAAAATTAGTTTAGCAACTGAAAGTGTTTAAAACTCGAAGTTGAAAGATCAAAATTAGTATTTAGCATTTTTAAGTAAAGCAAGCAATCATGCATTCACGGGTCTTAAAAAACTTGAACCATCCATCAGGGGTCTTAAAAGTGAACAACGACTTGCCTCACGCAATCACTGCCACTTCATTTTCTAGCATGTCAAAAACATTAAATAAAGTCTATGGAACAGATGGCAGCAACATATGAAACCTTTTGCAAATGACAGAACAAGACGTATAGGATTAGCATTTCACTCTTCTGGAAAGTTGGAAAATGGCACATCACGTCTACCACTACCTATGGGAATTGTAATGAGATTCAAGTGGAAGTTCTGAATTCAACATTCAGTACCGCCTCCCATTCCTCTCAAACTCAATTCCATCAAACACGCAGGTTCTATTTCTGTATCTTAATTTGCTCAAGGAGTATGTATTAACAGATGACATGCATTCTAACTGCTAAGAATTTCCAGCAATCATCTAGACTTTTCCATCTGAAAGGGCAGAAGATGCGCGTCTGTGGTGCAGTCTTGAATAGCTCAATGAAACTTTGAGTTCATTACTGTAAACAGCACAAAACTTGAACACACAAAAGAAAATGATCTACTTGGAAATGTAACAGAACATTAAGGTCACTCTGATACAACTTTGCTTCCAGCAAATTAGATACAGAGTCTTCACTGAATATAATTTTACATTTTATATTCTGGATGCAAAGAGAAATGTGTAGCAAGTAAAAGACTTTGATTGCTTGACTATGTAGGTGATGTTGCACAGATGAATTTGAAGAAAGTCTTCTAACTTCCAATAAATAGACAGTATAAATGCACTACCCCACTTGAAAATGCCAAGTTTTCAAAAATAAATAAAATATAAAAGGCATTTAGAAACCTAATACCAAAAGGCTGTCAAGAAAAAGCAATCATAATTCACAAATAATTCTCCAGAAATAAAACCAAACCAACAGAAAATATGCATACCAACATATGCGAAATAAGGTGAAAATATCCTGTCCTAAACTTACAAAATAGAACTGCAATATATCTACATGCATGAGTTGAAATAGCTAGCAAACCCAGTTCTCAAGGAAATAAATACAACAAATGAAACAGATTAGCATTCCTAGATGCTGCAGAAACTAGGAAAAGAAAAAAGGAGGTAAAGGGAAACATTGTCATTGCTTGATATGTGATGACATAATTTAACAGAAAGCAAGGTCTCACATTTCAATTAGCCTTCTGAAACTTTTCCACGTAAGCCTGCAAGGAAATAAATGTATTGGAGAGAAGTTAAAAAAAAAAAAATGGTTGTCTAGTCACATAAAAGCATCTGTCTGCATTTGTTTGTCTATATAAACACAAACCACATAGACATGAATAGAACAAGAACTTACAACCACACACATACACAATGGAATAGCAAAGATAAGGGCAGAGAACACCATGGCGTACTTATTGTGCATTATAATTTTTTTTTTTT